TATTACAAAAGAGTTAACAAACTAAGAAACAAATAAGAATACGATTATGAATCCAGGGCTAATAGCAGCTAACTGACCTCGTTTTTATTACAAAAGAGTTAGCAAACTAAGGAACACATAATAATATGATTATGAATCCAGCTAATAGCAGCTAACCGACCTCGTACTTATTACAAAAGAGTTAGCAAACTAAGGAACACATAAGAATACGATTATGAATCCAGCTAATAGCAGCTAACTGACCTCGTACTTATTACAAACGAGTTAACAAACTAAGAAACAAATAAGAATACGATTATGAATCCAGGGCTAATAGCAGCTAACCGACCTCGTACTTATTACAAAAGAGCTAACAAACTAAGAAACACATAATAACACGATTATATCCCCAGCTAATAGCAGCTAACTGACATCGTACTTATTACAAATGATTAACAAACTAACAAACACATAATAATTTGATTACGAATCCAGCTAATAACAGCTAACTGACCTCGTACTTATTACAAATAATTAAAAATCTAAGAAACACATCAGAATATGATAATGGATCCAGCTAACAGCAGATAACTGACCTCGGCAAGGTACTTATTACAAATGATTAACAAACTAAGAAACAAATAAGAACTCGATTATAAACCCAGCTAATAGCAGCTAACTGACCTCGTACTTATTACAAATGATTAACAAACTAAGAAACACTTAAGAACACGATTATAAACCCAGCTAATAGCAGCTAACCGACATCGTACTTATTACAAATGAGTAACAAACTAAGATAAAAATAGGAATACAATTAAAAATCCAGCTAATAGAAACTAACTGACATCGTACTTATTACGAAAGAGTTAACAAACTAAGAAACACATCAGAATACCATTATGAACCCAGCTAATATCAGCTAACTGACATCGTACTTATTACAAATGATTAACAAACTGAGAAACACATCAGAATATGATTATAAATCCAGCTAATATCAGCTAACTGACATCGTACCTATTACAAATGATTAACAAACTGAGAAACACATCAGAATATGATTATTAATCCAGCTAATATCAGCTAACTGACATCGTACCAATTACAAATGATTAACAAACGGAGAAACACATCAGAATATGATTATAAATCCAGCTAATATCAGCTAACTGACATCGTACCTATTACAAATGATTAATAAACGGAGAAACATATCAGAATATGATTATAAATCCAGCTAATAGCAGCTAACTGACCTCGTACTTATTACAAATGATTAACAAACTAAGATAAAAATAGGATTACAATTAAAAATCCAGCTAATGGAAGCTAACTGACCTCGTATTTATTACAAAAGATTAACAAACTAAGAAACACATAAGAATATGATTACGAATCCAGCTAATAACAGCTAACTGATATCGTATTTATTACAAATGATTAACAAACTAAGATAAAAATAGAAATACAATTAAAAATCCAGCTAATAGCAGCTAACTGACCTCGTATTTATTACAAAAGATTAACAAACTAAGAAACACATAAGAATATGATTACGAACCCAGCTAATAACAGCTAACAAACTAATAAACACATAAAAATACGATTATGAATCCAGCTAATGGCAGCTAACTGACCTCGTACCAATTACAAATGATTAACAAACTAAGAAACACATAAGAATACGATTATGAATCCAGCTAATGGCAGCTAACTGACCTCGTACCAATTACAAATGATTAACAAACTAAGATAAAAATAGGAATACAATTATAAATCCAGCTAATAGTAGCTAACTGACCTCGTACTTATTACAAATGATTAACAAACTAAGATAAAAATAGGAATACAATTAAAAATCCAGCTAATAGCAGCTAACTGACCTCGTATTTATTACAAAAGATTAACAAACTAAGAAACACATAAGAATATGATTATGAATTCAGCTAATATCAGGTAACTGACATCGTACTTATTACAAATGAGTAACAAACTAAGATAAAAATGGCAATACAATTAAAAATCCAGCTAATAGCAGCTAACTGACCTCGTACTTATTACAAAAGAGTTGACAAACTAAGAAACACATACGAATACGATTATAAACCCAGCTAATAGCAGCTAACTCCACGTTCATTGAGTTAAGGCGGTTGTGAATCCGGCTAATAGCGGCTAAATCGCCGGGTGTCGGTTGACTAGGCAAAGGAAAACGAGAACAAAAGCCCAATCTCTTAATTTTAACAAATGTGTACAACGGATACTGGTAGTGTATACAATGAGAGGTGAATCATCTTACTTTTCAGTAACGTGGCATTCATATAATTTGTCTCCATGCGGGTATGATGAATTCTCGCTTCGTAAAATTCTACAAAATATTATGAATACTGTTTACATGACAAATCTGGTCTAATTTTAAACCCATGTATCTCCCGAGTGTAAATGTACCGCGATATCAATCATTTTTATTTACAATTATTCGATTTTCTGTTACTATTTCCCGTGCGTGGCGCTCTATACGAATCGACAGCTAGTCGACTTCGACTTTAATCCAGAGTTTAGAGTATTTGCACATCGTTCATCCAGTGCTAGCCATGGTTAGCTGAGCGCCGGTGTTCGCATGCACTGTGGTTGCGAAAATATTGGACTAATCAGGCCACGAGTACGTTTCTACCCCGCCTATACGAAGCACGCCAACACAAAATACAATATAATTCGATACGAATGTTGTGCCTATATACGCCACTTGATATATATACTACACAACAGTACTGCAAAACGGGTGGCTGATTTTGTTTTCTTAACTTCAGACATTGAACAAAAAATTAAAAAAAAAAAACCTTTTGTGGAATATTACGTCATTTTAATTGTTTGGATTTTTCTAGTCGACGTTGTCATTAAAAAAAAGGTAGAACCTAAAAGATTATGACAAAGGCGTCTTTCATTTGCCCCACGTTTTCAGACTGACATTCACGTCAAACTGAGTGAGTGAGACTTCTCCTTTCTCTCACTGCTGCGTTTAAGTGAATGTAATGTGCGTTTTTTCCCTTTTGACTTCCGCGCCTCAACAAAGGCACATGACAACGCCACCTTGCCTGTTCCGGGACTATTCACTGTATGACATATATGTAGAACCGCCCCTCTCATTTTCTCTCCCGCGTTGTTGTCCTCCTCATCTCTGCAAGAGGAGTTGTATAAATACGTTGATGCTGCATTTTACATCCAGCGAGTAAAAAAAATGTAAATTTGCATAATTTTAATTCATAAAAAAACGTTAAACGAAACATACCCCCTTGAGTAGTGTTGTGAGAATACGGACTTCTGTGCTTCCTGGTGACCGAAGGCATTATTAAAGAAGCCAGCGCCCTGATTACATTGACTAATGGCATCGACATTTTTCTATTCATTCGAAATAATAAATGCTTGGCTTCAAATATAAAAAAAAAGTATATTCGCAATTATTGTAGGTTTTCAAAAATTAAGAAACTATGCTTTATTGACGGCCAATTATAATGACAATAGTGTGAAATGGACACCGAGTAAACAAAAAGAAAAAACAACAGTGTACTGATGGAAAGTTGAAAGCTGGGTGAAGATATCTCGACTTTATACCTTATGGATGTTTGCTTTGCAAGGCATATTAACTGTCGTTTTTTGTGTGCGCCGTGTAATGTGAGTGCAGCACAGTCTGTGGAAATCGTGTCAAAGCGAAATAATATCCCTGCACATAAGAGATGGCAGTACAAGAGCTGGCGTTGACTGAATAAAAAAGCCCGTATTTAGCAAACACATTTTAAACATGTGGGATAGCTCACATGGTTCACTCCCTGAGTTGTGTGCTCGTTTATCCGTATGCTGTTAAACAACATACGTGCGCCTTTGTAAGAATACAAATTACACAGCAAAGGTGAAAGTGAATTACAAGTTAATATAGTCTTGACAGAGACTGTATGCGGATAATGAGATGGGAAGGGCAGCGTCGCGCAGTTGACAATCACCAACTAATTACGACAAACTCGTCGATGCCAACGTACATGATACATTCCCTAAATCGGTTTACGTTGACTCGCGTGTCCCCCTTCCTTCAACACAACGCATGCGACAATGGCATAACATCACAGGCCGTGACAAGGGGAGTTTTACATTTTAAGAGGGGTTTCTATGACGACGTGCCTAAACGGTCCTTGTTAAACAATCCTCCAGAAACGTGACCGTGAAGGAGTTTTATGGGGCAGTTTGAAGCGATCGCAAATCGTTCTTTTAAGAAAGAAACTATTTTAACGTGTTTTTTTCTCAGAGGGTTGTGTCATAGATCGTGTTCAGTCACGTTCACTCCTCCCTCTCGTTAGCACATCTGATAGCATGTCGGTTAAGCGAAAAATGATGACTGCAAAAGTTTTTGTTTTTCAAATATCATATAAACATAATAATAATAAAAGAGGTGCGAAAATGGAAATACAAATAGAGGTTTTTCCAATTAATTTTTAATATGTAAGTCTATCGACGTTGCCTAATGTACAGAAAGTCGGCTTCTGGACGCAGCGGGCGGGTATTAAGGGAGCGGGTGTTAAGTATAACTTTTATTTACCGTAACAGCGAATTCGAGAGCGACTAAACGTAATGCGCTTATACATGAACGATAAAGAACTTACGCACCCGTCAGTCTTTGCTCCTTCTATTTAGGCCGAAAGCCGATTATAGACCTTATCTGCTTCAAGCTTTTGTTATGAAAATAAAAGTGTGGAAAATGGAAACGGATTTACATCACGCTTGTAGCGTGCCCTACCCGCCGATCGTTTCCACATGAAATTAACTCTATTAAGCGGTTAGCTAACGGGAATCGAAGTAGGATAAGGCCAGCGTGTATTTTTCACTGATTTTTTTTTTAAATTTTCAAGTTTTAGCCCAAAGAGGGGGATGTCAGGTGCATCTCACTTCGCGGAAAATGTACAACTGAGCATGCGTAATTTGTAGTACTACGTCTGCGCATTCGGGGGCGCGCATTTCAGTAGTTAGCAGCTGTCTAAACATGGAGGTACAGTTGAGCTGCACACTGCTGGTTCCCAGGCCTACTCTATACCCCTAGGCCACACAGCATCTAGCCCTTAAAAAGCTCGACACTACCGTCAGATTATCCACTGCTTCGCCGTTACAAGCAACGGTTATGAACTGCAGCGACTTTGTTTCGATGGAAAGCCTGGGCGATTACGGAGCGTCGGACCATGTACCTGTATCGTCGAGCGACCTACTCTCAGACATACCTAAACACTCACGCACCTCTCTGGCTAACCTCGGCAACATGATGGAACCGAACGATTTTCGGACTTCTGATTACAGTGTTAGTTCGCTGAATGGACTGCAGACGAATACAAGCTCTAGTTATACAACGTTAACACCTTTGCAGCCCCTTCCGCCGATTTCATCCGTGACTTCGGACAAGTTTCGGCACCATCACCACCACGATACTGGCAATGTTAGCGGCAGTTTTACTTTGATGAACTCGCACACAAACCACATGATGAACAATCCATACGAAAAGCTTACGAGTATGAACATGGGTCCCGTCGGTAGTGGAATGGGGCCCAATACAATGTTAAACGGCTATGGCCATCATCATCCTCAAAGCATGGCCGGCTACGGACCGCACAGTCCAGGCAATTCTTACGCACGCAGTATGAACATGAACATAAACCCGATGAACGGGTATGAACCACAATATCCATCGCACCACACAGATCATATGAGAGGTTTACAACAACAGAGAACAAGTCTAGCCAATCCGATGGTTATTAACGGCATGCACACAACACCGCATCCCACACCGACACCGCCGTCGAGTAGAAATTCGAACATTTCTTCCCGGGACTCGGGCAATGGAGAAGAGATCAACACGAAAGAAGTCGCACAGCGAGTGACCAGCGAACTGAAACGTTACAGCATACCACAGGCAGTGTTCGCACAACGAGTACTTTGTCGAAGCCAGGGAACTCTTAGCGACTTGCTACGTAATCCCAAGCCATGGAGCAAATTGAAGAGTGGTCGGGAGACCTTCCGAAGAATGTGGAAGTGGTTACAGGAGCCCGAGTTTCAAAGAATGTCTGCGCTCAGGTTAGCCGGTACGTACATTCTCAGAAAACACAACATAGTATTAGTTAAGTATTAGTAGAAGCAACGCCATGTCAAGATTGTTGTTTTCGAAAAAAAGAAATCAATATACTAGTAAATAAGTTGTATGTTGGAAGAAAGATTAACATCACGCTATCTTAGTGAGTGCAGACATTTTATGTATTTTGTGTATCAATTTTTTAATTTCACTTCCGTGCCTTGTTTCGAAGGGACGCTCCGAGCCTAGCAACGGCGTGTCATAATTCACTGGAAAAATTTTGTTTTCATGGTGTCAAGTGGCAAGGTCGGGTCCTTTATTCGTTCTGTGTGTCCAGGCGTAAGTGAGCATGAATAGGGGGTGAGAATGGTGCGAAATACAGCTAAAGAAGCCACTTGAATCGTTACACAGATTGGATTATCTAATTAAAACCCACAAACAAATTGACAACGCCTTGTCAGATCCCGTTGAATTGTTGTCGCTGATCGTTGCTAACGCTGAACTAAATCACCGGCATTTATAGAATAACCGGTAAATCACCCGTTCATCGCATTAACCAACGGTATTTCATAACGTGCGTCGAGCATTATTTTTACCGGTTCAGATCCAATCTCACGCTTTGGACCGACACGTAACTTTATTGTAATAATTGGGCGAAGTCAATCACGGGGCAGTTTCGGAGGGAAGTAAACAAAAATGAAAGTGTGCGTAAAAACGGTTTGTTGAAAACACGGCTCGTGGATCCGGTTCCGTAACTTCTCAATTCTGTCGACATTAATACAGACAAATCGCGCTGGGCTATCATTACGATGCGTGATTGATGACTGAGCGATTACCCTGTTCAAAAAATATTAGTTTTGTCAAGAGAAGCGTTACAAAAAAATTATGATGTCTGTATTTGTACTGCGGCAGTTTAATTCTAAAGTTTTTTTTTTTAATAATAAGCAATCGACCTTAAACGCAACGGGCGCGTTTAAAAACAGTGTAGAAATACATCATGATATATTGCGTACTTACGCCTCTGTAAACTTTTCTATCGATGTACATTTCGTTAATTAAGTTGTATAGGAGCTAAACTAATTATATTAAATCATTACCCGACGCTTCCGTACTTTTTAATGCCAATATATATTTGAGGAAAAAACAATATGATAAATTCTTAAAATTATCTATTCATATCAACAAGTTTTTTTTTTTTTTTTTTTTTTGTAATAATCGATGGCTGTTTTGATTTGACAAACTGCATATCATATGTTTATTTCCTGTTCTCATCTGTCATTGGCAGACACCACTACATACAGTCGTATATTATGATATTAGTTTTCAATTTATATGGGAAAGAAGTCCCCCAGGATTTTGGATACATTTTGTTATTTAGATCATGATATTGCTTAATGGAAGCTCCGTTGTCAGCTTTCTTTTCATGCAATTAATTCACCCTCCCCCATGTTGCACAACCTCCCTTGGTGGAAAAAAAACCTTTCCCCCTTGGCCAATATTGTTGTAGAAAACCCTGTGGGCAACTCCTCATTGGACAGCTGTATGGGTTTGATGTAACTGTTTGGAGAGCACCAATTTGTCTCGTTTTCGAGGCACACATATAGTAAATCACATTGACCACACCGCGGACAGACTACAAAATGAACTCCTCAGGACAGGCTGTAAAATATAAATGAGCGACTAAGAAAAAAAAAAAACAGGTCAATTCGTGACACTATTGCCATGATGAGCGCACTTGATAGACTTAAAAAATTGGCAAGCGCGAATTCAGCAGCGAATTAAAATTAAAGCTAGATGTTGTTTTCATTTGCAGCTGTATACACCTTGGATTGTATGAGAACTCGGTTCAATTTAATTAATATCATTTTCTCCCCAATACATCCTTTTTCTGTCCATTTGATCACTTCAATGTTTGAACTCTGGCAATTCTTTCAGGATTCGTGTGGCTGGTCATTACATTTTCCACTGCAATTGCTTCGTCTGTTGGAAGTGTTGAGTGAAGACAATTTAAACCATCAATCGTGTCTACTTTGGGATTTGAGTGGTATTTTGGGGGATGTTCAAGTGGCGTTCAGGTTTCTAGTGCCATTATTTTTGGTGACATGACTGCATTCGGTTGTTAATTTATCTTGACAATGAGATGAGCCGAGGGTTGGCAAAGTAATTATGGCGTGTGTCGGCCGTACAGCTGACAGCCGCTTTACTCTCAAATTAATCATTACTTTCTTCTCCAGTGTTCTTTTTAAAAAAAAAAATATATATATCTTATTTTTTTAATGAACAACTCTTTGCTTATTAAAAATCCCAAACTTATAAGTTTGAATATTGTATTTTTTTTTTTGCATTTTAATTAAACATTTAAAATGGGATCGTTTTTAGAAGTAGTTACAGTGGAGCAAATGAGTGGTCATTGGTGATCATTTTAGGGCCTTCATCAGCATTTGCTACATACAGTCTACTAAATGCTAAGATTAATGGCGTAACCTGGACATGTCTGGCCTCATCTCTTCATGTCTAGGCTAGTTAGGCTTGATCAACTTGAGATCAACTGGCGAGTAATAATTCAAGCTTTGGCTATAAATCACTCGGTGGCGAATGCCCCTGTGTAAACTGGCAATAGCCACAGGACATGACCTCTGCACACCGCAGTTGAGCTTGCAATAGCTACAAAATGCTGAGGAATTTAGTGAGACATCAGTAAAAGATTTTCAGCTTTACCAGATAAACGTAGCCTAGAGAGTTAGAGACCATGTTATGAGAGTCAAAGTTAACGAAAATAAACACTCTGCAAAGGTAGATGACGTCTTTGATGACAGTATCTAGTGTTAGCATACAGTTCCATTTGTAAGCTAGTGCTGTCAAATTTGTTTGGTGGTTTGAAATTTACTTGGTGGGTAAATAAAAAGACAGTAAATATAGTGTGTGCATGGGGTTTGTATAATGTATGGCCAAATTACTTCCAATCACTTGGTGCCGATAAGCAAAGCATAGCATGCATGAAACTGACAAGGCGTGCTGAATGCAAGGGGCAATTGATGTCAATTTCCTGTACACTGAATTAACACATGAAAAGTGTGGAGAATGCAGCGAAGGCGTAAGATAGCTGTATTTGTTCACCAGACAGCCTGTGAGAGTAGGCGATATCTTTTTCATTCTTTACCCCCCCAAAAAAAATGCACTTGTGTTAGTAATAGCTTGTTGTTATCAGAAAGAAGGATTTTTTTTTAAATGTTTGAGTTGGAAAATAATCGTGCTGCTTCTTGCCTTAGGTGGTTTTTCGTATGTATTCCTGTGAGATCGGCTAGAAAGCTATTGTTGTGAAGAATCTCCTGTCATCACTGAGCCAGTATATGTACTTGGTTGCCAGTAATTGAGAGTGCGGTGAAATGGTTCCCTTATTTATTTCAACGTATTGTTACACATAGCCATGTTTGTCACACACAGAATAAAGGAGGAAGAAAAAGACCTGTTACCCCTGTGGCTTGGAATTGAGCCTTATAGCCCTGAATGTAATTTAATAAATACATCCTATTCTCAATTGCTTCAAATAATAGCCTACAACGTGCATTACCATTCTGTCAATGAAAAGATTCTTTTCAATGAAAGAAAATGAAAAAGTCTGTGAAGTGCTTTTCAGCACGAGTCGATCATGGAGGTTGGATAAGGGGCGTGTGCTGGTGAGCTATCGACAGACGAGAGGTCAATTGGTGGAAGCGGTAATTTGTGAAACTATAGTCGCTTAAAATGAACACGACTGCTTTTTACGTTCACAGAGCATGGTTGTTGAGGTGTGGGTCAGTGAGATTATTTGGTCCACGTCTGCGTATAGACCTGTCATTAGGTCCCAGTTCCCACTCCTTTTAGCTACAAATGTAATTTCCCGACAAAAGTGCTTTATTTAGTCTAAACAAATATCATTAATTTAGTACATAATGCACAAATATAGGAAGGCAACCATTCTCTATTCATACCCAGCACAAGTTGGATGCCACTTAGTTGAATGGCAGAAAGCACTAAATGGTGGCGGAATAATTTTGCGTGACATTCAATTCCCTGTCTTTTTATTACATTTGTTCTTTGTTAAATAAAAGACAGTGATTTTTTTCATGAAAAAGGGAAGAAGATATCACACAACAATTAATGAAGACAGACAGAAAATTAAGTTTGTTCAGTGCGCCGGTAAACAATGGCTTATGTACACACCGTTATTTCTGTTCTGTTCAATTCAACATGAATGCGATATTATGTTCAGAGGGCATATATGCAATTATAAGCATACCATATTTGATTGAATCAAAACAAATTATTACTTTTTCACTTATTTTTAATAAATGCATTTTTAGTGTCAGTTTAACATATTAATTTAAACAATTTTGTTCAATGTTTTGATTTGAAAAAAAAAAAAAAAAAATTGAAGCCATTCTGATCGTTATCAAAACCATTGTATTGTTCTCTAAGAAATCTGTGTCAGAACAGATAAAAAAAAAATTATCGCTTAGGGCAGTTTTTTTTCCAACTTAAACTGTTTTTTTTTTTCAGCGATGGGACATCAACATGTAGAACAGAAGTATTTGTTTGTTGTGATTGTTAACAAAACGGTGACAAGACTGATGGATTGATACTCCAATCATGACCAAGCAACAATCAGATAGTCAGAATAAACGTGACAGTTGCTAAGTTACATATATGATTGATATAATTGGCTTGGGTACTGGATTTGGTTCATAAACTTGACATAAACATTTTAAGATAATTTTTTTTTTTTTACAACTCTAAAACGAGTTGTTGATTGACGGTGTATGTTTTGACTGAATCCTACCGATAAGGTGGGCATATATAACTTAGATTCAGCAATTTTTTTACCTTTTAAAACTGATTGATAAGGTCAAAAAAAAGGCGGAAAACATAAAAAAAAATGATGATGTATGGATTTTTAACTGACACTACACAGGATGGCCAGAAACATGAATATTTTTTGGTGGGCTTAATGTGCAAACCTCT